CCTGCGGGGAACTCTGCAAAAAACGCATCTTCGCACGGGCAGCCCGTGCGTTGGCCAATTATTTGAGTTCCTTATCATTAACGGATGAAATGTTTTATGGTGTTACAGGGTGGTGCAGCAGATCTGTTATTCGAGGAATTAGAAAAAAATGAGGAGATTTATTCGTTAATGATTGCTGGTTTGTGCAAATATCGCAGCTCGGAATGTGTTGCTCGTGCTACCCAGCTTTACAAAGTAAGCCTGTCGTAGTTCAGTTTATCAAAATATGATTTTTTTTTTTTAAAAATTCCACTTCCACTTTTTTTATCTCTTGCCGCAGGACTGCTCACCTTTTATCTTTCGTATTTGTCATACTGCTGGCCATCTACCTGTTATATTCTCTTATGGCTAGTCCAGATTCTATAATAAAACGCGCCATCTTTCTAATATAATTCTACCGGATGGCAGGAGCTGTTTGAGGTCTGCGATCGCCGGCTCTGATGAGATCGCTGTTGCACATACTGGATGGACTGGTTAGTTTTTCTAGGAACACAATTATTTATTTATATGCGGCCTATACTAAGGAACAGATGAACAAGCTTCCTTTTTTATATGTTTCTTAATTTTGCAGGAAATGTGTAAGAAGAATCAAACGCCCACAGTGGAGGCTTATTGTGGATTGGTGGCCATCTCGAGAACTTGGCCAGAAGCATTGTTTTACGTGAAAGACTGTGCGCAAAAGCATGTTAAGCCAAATATCCGTATTTTTAACTGCCTAATCGAGAAGTCTACTTCTATGGTAAGCCCGTTGTTCCAATACTCGTCATGAAGCTTTGAAAGACAGTTCATTGATGAGTGTGCATGGGAACAGTCTGCTGTAGTCTTTGCATTGGAAAGTTGGGATTAGAATTGAAGGCAGAATCTAGTTGACCATAAGAATGCCTGCAAATTATACATCAAATGAAAAGCTGATTTTAAAAAGATTGATAAAGCCCAGGAGTGCTGTGGAAAAAAGATTCAAAGTGGAGAAAATATAAAAAATAAGACAGAGAATTGGAAATCCAGGATTTAAAAAGCTTGTAAAACATGAGTAGCATATGAAAAAACATTTTATATTCAGTATTTCTGAGGTTTTATACGTAGACCAACCGAAATTCGTCAATACGTTCTCCCAGCACACAATTTTGAGTGGAAAAACCGTAGCTGAGGAAGGAAATGAGAAGACTGGAAAAATTTGACGCTTCTGAAAAGCTTGGTTAACGCATGATCTGCCATGTTCTTTTGAATGACTGAGGCGCCTTTGCAAGGCACCAGTTTTGTTTACAAAAAAAACTGCTTTAGCAAATTCGTGACCAGTTCAGTCAGGCCGTCAAAATAATGCACGAGGCGA